CTTTTATCCAAAGCAACTTACAAATGAGGACAATAGAAGCAATCAAAACCAGCAAAAGAGCAATAATTTACAAGTGCTATATTAGTATATTATTATAGTGTTATATTTCAATTTCACAAAGAAACGTGCAGCATTTTGTCCAAGCAATAATAAAAGGACACATTAAATGTATAATTTGTCTTAAATCTCATTTTGTAAAAAAAATAAAAAATTGTGAATCGAATCGAATCGAATCGTGAAATCAAAACCGTGAATCGAATCGAATCGTGAGTTGAGTGAATCGTTACATCCTTACTCGCGGCACCGGCCTCGCTCTGTTTTGTAGCGGCTCTGCCCTGCTTGCCACAGTGTTATTGTAGTATTCATTAATTCATCAATAATTGTAATATTCGTATTACAGTAATAATTGTATTATTAATAAATAATATTAATGATATTTGTAAGATGCCTGTGTAGGTGCTACATCTGAAGTCTGGAGAATTGTTGTAGTTTGATTGCTACAGTGAGAGCTGTTACGATCTCACTGTGTGGTCATTTTAAATTATTGTTATTATTATTATTTTAATTTAAATGTTTCAAGTGCCCTCAGAGGAATAGTTCACCCAAGAATGAAAATGTAAAATTAAAATAATTTATTCACCCTTATTTTGTTCCAAATACAAAACAAATTCTAAAGAATGTTGACGCTGCCCTTTTCCAAACATTAAAAGAATACAAGTGCTATAAAGAATGCTGCGACCAAAACACTTTTGACAGCAGCATTTAAAAAAGCCCTCATCTGTGCTCTGACTCTGTAGAATCCTATTCTGGACAGACTGGGATGCCAGCATGCCCAGGATAGAGGCTGCGTCCATGAGTGGACATGGCAGGCGCACCATCCATAAGGAGACGGGCAGCGGAGGATGGCCCAACGGACTGACTGTGGACTATCTGGAGCGCCGCATTCTGTGGATAGATGCCAGGTAACATTTGAAGACTCATAAACATACACACTGCAGCTAAATTCGGCTGTTAATTCACCTTTTAGTACTTAATCCTGTTCTGTACACCTGCAATTGAGTAATTTGCGGCAGTAATTTACCGCATTCTACAACTGAATTGACTCCTGAAAAATGCAGGTAGTGACAGCCGCATTTGCAGAAATTCTATGTAGGTACATGTTGACTCTGTGTTGACAGATCTTGTTATAAGAAAACAGCAAATAAAAACAAGCCTATAGTAAACTTAAATCCGGACACAGTATCTTGGAAATAAGCCACATACCAGAATATCACAACTTGCACCTGCCTACTTTATTAACTCCATAAACTGGATTGCTTTATTAGCAGAGCCCAAACAACAAGGCCAAAGATGCTTAAACGGGTCATATGATGCGATTTCAATTTTTCCTTTCTCTTTGAAGTGTTACACGCTCTTGGTGCATAAAGAAGATCTGTAAAGTTGCAAAGACTAAAGTCTC